TGAGCTCCGTGACCAAGTGCGAGCAATGAGGACGGCTAACAGATAGGGAAATGGCCACATGGATCTGGCATTAGTTGATCCACAAGCATCAAGGCAGCAAGAAAGAGCCATGGTGGAAGCAGGATTTGCAGGCACAGATGTTGTGGCACCAACGGTGCAAACAACTAGAACAGATGATGTTCAGTTGAAATGAAGGATGGTAGAGAAGGAACTAGGTTTGTTGAAGTTTATATTGGGGGCCTGTGTGATTCTAGTGCTTGCAGTACTTTTTAGGAAGTAGATGTTTGTTGCTTTTTTAGTTGTGAATGGTAGTAGTTGGATGCTTATTAGTTTGTGGTGTAGAAGTATGGAAGATGTATTGAATTGAAGATGTATTTTGCTATCTTTGAATCGATTATGAATTCGAAGATGACTTGCTCTCTGATTGGCTGTCATTCTATTGCTCTTTCATGTGAACTGAGGAATTCAAATTGGCTGTCATTCTTTTTCCAGGATGACTTGCTCTCTGATGGAGAAATACCCTTTTCTTCTATTTTGTCTTTACTTGGGTTCTGTGATTCTGTGATCCATAGGCATAAGTGAGATTATTTCGTAAGAACTGGGTTTAAGTTGGCAAAAGTACATCATTCACCTTGCAAAAAGTTGGCAGATCGTCACACATGTCAGCAGTTACCTGACCACCAAAACTGCTACAAAACCTACAACTGTGCTGCACTAGATTTGGGGGCAGCATCATGTAAACCTGGAAATCTTCATAAATTAGTATAGCCTACTAACTGCAAGGTGCAAGTAAAATGATTGACTACACTACAGTTTATAGCTTGAATGTCAGGACAGTTTCATAAATTTGTCAGGACAGGAACTAGGCTCTAAACTTGAAAAGTTGTCAGGACTCAGGACTTAATAACCATGTCTGGCATTACATTACAAGACATTAAAGTCTGGCATTATAATTTGCACACCAGCATAGCTTCGAGCACTTATAGCCTTAAAAGTCTGGCATTACATTACAAGGTCAACCAAGGAGTGATAGAAACAACTGAACATTACATTACAAATGCCTTAAAAGTCTGGCATTACATTACAAGTTAACATCACAATATGGCAATACATGCTCTTAGGGATCAGCATGGTCTTTGAGAAGCAGCAGTTGGCTTGGTTGTGTGCGCTTCTTCACTGCTTGCTTCTTCCTTGGAGGTTCCTTGGCAGTGACTGTAACACATGCTTTTCCACCATTAAAACTCAAGTTGACAGAAGAACTTGCTTGTGACAATGGAACATTGGCTTGTAAATGCATGGTAGCTTGCCCAGGCGTTTGCACTCTAGCTGTGACAGTGCACTTGATATTTTTCTGCATGTGAGTTAAAATATAAGCAATTGGAGGCAAAATTAAAAGGAAATTAAAAAAAGGAAACAACATACGAAGTAGCACATACAGTTACTTGGCTTCGCTGAGATGCTCTTCTTTTCCCTCTTCCTCTACTGCTTTCATTAGAGATAGCAGTGGGTACAAAGCTGCCATGTGTAGAAGCATCAGCTGATACATTACTTGGTTGTGGAGCAGCATGACCTGTGCCTCCTGGAGTTTCACTGCTAGATGGAACCCCATGTCTCTTGTCACAAGTGGACCTATTGTGGCCTATTCCCTTACATTTCCTGCATCTGATGACTGTCCCTACCTTAGAAAGTCTCTTTGCCTTTGGTTGTTCTTGTGGCTCCCTCTTCCTTTCTTTTTTAGGTCTGCCTAGCATTCTCACATATCTAGGTGCCTTCAAGGGTGGGAGTTCAGACTCTGGCCAATTCTGCATACCCTCCAATGGGTTTAGGCAGTGAGAGTAAGTATTGTTGAACTCAGTAATATGATAACAAGATGCAATGTAATCATCTAGCACATTTGTGTTGTAAAAGATGCATGAAATAGCATGGCAGCATGACAACCCAGACAATTGCTAATACCTACAAGAACACTCTCTAGCCTATAGGTCAACTATGAACCTGTTGCCCCAATGATTGACTTCAAATTTGTCAGCTCCATTGCTAATAGCATGGCATACCCCTGAAAGGGTGATACTTGCATTTAGCTTTTTAAGGATGTTGTGACACACTGTTCCTGTCCATGTTTGTGACTTAGACCTATTCTGTTGGATCCTCACCATCACCTTCCTTCTAATTGTCTCCGGCATAGTTACAATAGGAAAGAACCTAACTTCCACAATCCATTTGTTAAATGTTTCACACATATTGTTGTCAATAGAATCACAATTTGATCCTATCTTAAACCAGACCCTGCTCCAATGAGCTGGATCAGTGTTCATCAAGGCTTGTGCACCATCTGGTGTATACTTTGCTAGTCTGGCCCTTGCAAGATTGAACAATGCTGGACAGGGTGCCTTTGCACAATGCCAGAATTTCTTTTGCCACTCCTTGTTCTTGAATTTCTTTCTCCAGATGGCATATATATGCCTAGCACAGTTTCTGTGTTTAGCAGTGGGAGCCCATTTCTGTACTGCATTGAGGATACCCTTCTGTTGATCAGATATGATAACCCACCCCTCCCCATCTCTCACTCCAACATCTCTGAACAAAATGTCACGAAACTAGTCCCATGATTCATTGTTTTCCTTCTCTACTACTGCCCATGCTATAGGATACATCTGGCTGTTGACATCCCTTCCTATTGCACACAGAAGCTCCCCATTCGTTGCACCCTTAAAGAAGCAGCCATCTAGGCCTAACACTTTTCTACACCCTGCCATGAATCCTTTTTTACATGCATCCAGGCAAATATACATTCTCTGGAAGACTGGTAGTTCCAACTGAAGTTCTTTTTTCATAATGACTATGCTGCCAGGATTACTTCTCAACAATTCAAGCTGATCTCTGTACAGAAGTTGGTACTGGCCTTTGGTTCCATCTAGTACTTTCTGCATGACAATTGCCTTTGCTCTTTTCAGTTTTGAGATGCTTACCATAGCAAACATCTCCTCTTGAATTGTGGTTCTCATTCTTTCCAAACTCCATGTTGGGTTGGCCATTATGAACTTCTCATACTTCTCTGCAATCCTACTAGCAGTTACTAACTTGTTGTCCCTCCTTGGGGGGCATGTGTGCAAATCATTTAGAATAGACACCTACCAGCTGTCTGTCCTTGAATTGGTTGACAACAAACATCTCCAGGTACATGTGGCCCAATCACATAGAGCTAACATCCTGTGTGACTCATTCCTCCTAAACCTGATCACCCTCCTCTATAGCAAACTTTGCCTGATAACTACTTTCTTGAACTACTTTTTCCCAGTGAACTTCATGCCAATCACAAACCTAGGACTAGGTACATTCTTTTTGAACCTTGGGTAGTAGTTGTTCTTGGTCTCTAAGTGCCCCTCACTTGCTTCCTCGGACCTTCCTCCTCCCCTCCAGCTACTCGCGCTGCTCGAGCTCGCCATGCTGTCGCCGCCGTCGGGAGTTAGGGTTCGCGGTTGGGGAAGGAATGGAAGAGAGTGAGCAAGTCGGCAACTGTAGATGTCGATCCGCACCCGCACCAGCACCCTCCGCCGTCGCCATCGCCACCGTCGCCGTCGTCGGGACTTAGGGTTTGGGGTTGGGGAACGAACGGACGAGAGTGAGAGGAGAGTGCAGGAGTAAGTGGGCCGCGAGCAAAGGAAAAAGGCACAATACCGCGGTCGACGCGGGTTGACCGGGCGGAAACCGCCATCGCGCCAACGCGAGGGCCATTTCTATCTGGTTTACAGAGTTGATAAACTGCGGGTGTCTGATTTTCGAGTTGGGGGGCTAAAACCAAACTTCTGCCATAGTTGGAGGGCAAAAAATGGACTTTTTCCAAAATATAATTACTCTATGGGAATCGACGAAGAATTGTCCAAGAATTTTAGAGCCAAGAATCATGATATGGTCAACTAGAAAATAAATTGTACACATGCACCAGCTTCAAACTCAAGGATGACCACATTGATGAAAGAAAACAACTATGCTAATAGTGTAAAGTAGAAGGAGATGTGAACGACAATATCTAATTATATCACAAGCGGAGGCATAGCATAGTTGCTTAGTAGCAATCATATTATTGCCCGTGAGTTCTGACGGTGCTTGTTCTATGCCTATCATAACATTTCACTTGTATCATGGCGTGATTGGTTTCCGTATAAAACCAGCTTGCCAGCGTATGGGAGCTACTAGGCTCCCGCTGGCTAAGCTTTGTGCATGCAAGGACGATTTATTTGGCTTCCGTCTATCCTGGCTGACCAAGAACACTGATTGGTTGGTCAGTTCTTCGATTCCCACCACCTTGCTCATGCAAAGGCGAGGTATTTTCCTGCCACGTTACACATCGCCACAGTTAGGCCGTGGTGAAAAGCATAATTTTTTCACATCCCGCGAGCCAGGCTAGCTGAAGCCTTTTGCATCATTGCATGTCGCGAGCTAAACCCAAGTCTCGATCAAGGCAATCAATCATCCAGAAGCTGCACCTCATGAGCCTAGCCAGGCCAAATACAAAATGAATCAATCACACTCTAAGATGTTTATCATGCATGTGCGATCATAAACCTAAATTTGATATGCTGCTGTGAATAATGCAAGAACAGCTAGATAAAAGGGGTGATGGAATAGGGCAAGACACTGATGAAGTAGGATATTTTTTGTTGAAAAAAGTGTGTAATCCTAGTCCTGCGATGATCAAGCAGACAACGAAAAAGATCGACTGTGGTCAAAACGCGGTGGCTTCTAGCAATATTAGGACGAGGAGGCTCTTTCACATCACAGCCATAGTGAACAGCACGACGGGGCACGACTCATTCCCGGGCTGAGCCTCCGATTCGATCTCCTCCTCTCCGCCTCCACCTCTGCTGGTGCGGGGGCGCGGCGCGAGGCATGCAGGGGAGGTGTCGAGGAGAGCCAGCGAGATAACCCAGCTCAATTCCACTCCTGAGCTCGGGCCTCCTCCGGCGCCGTCGTCTTCCCTCTTTCAGTCCCTCACCTCGATGGACTCACTTGCCGCCGCCTGCCTCTGCTCCCGCCGTCGCCGCGCTCACCGACTCCTCCTGGCCGCTGCGGCGGCCACCGCCGGGTACGGCCTGTACCGCCTCTACCGCCACCACCGCCGCCGCATCGTCGCCGCCCTCTCCCTTGCCGACGCCGTGTCCCAGGTCGGTTCCGACCTCGCCGAATTCCTCCGCTCCGACTCCGACCAGGTCCCACGAAGCCTCCTCCAGCTCTCCAAGCTCGCCGCCTCCGAACCCGTCTCCTCTGCTGCGTCTTCCCTCTCCGAGTCCCTTGCCTCCGGCGTCCTCCGCGCCATCTCTCCCACCAGCGCCAATTACATCAACAGCAGCAGCAGCAGCAGCAAAACCCCAAACCCCACTCCAAGATCGGATCTTGGATCGCCTCCTCTCCCCCGAGGGCGCCGGATTCGCCTCCGCTGTCGTCGGAAGCTTCGCGAGGAACCTCGTCTTGTCCTCCTGCGACGCCCGCACGTCCGAGGCCGGCGACCGCGTGGAGCCCCGGTGGCTGGCTGCGCTCTGCAGCGCCACGGGCAAGGAGGCTGCCGCAGACCTCGTCCGAGTCTTCGTCAGCACCGCCGTAGCTGCCTACCTCGACCGCACCACCGCAGTGCGCACCAACAACCAGCTGCTCGCTGGCCTCTCTGATCCAAGGCACGAGGCCAAGGTCAAGGACCTGGCTGTCTCTGTCTGCAACGGTGCTGTCGAAACCTTCCTCAGGACGTCGCGGCAGCTCGCCAAGGAGGCCTCCGATGCTCGCATTGAGGCAGCAGCAATGGAGCGTGTGGTGGACGATTCAGACTCCAACGGCGTGATCCAGAAGGTTTCAAGCACGCTGGCCGCTCCGAGCAACAGGAGATTTGTACTGGACGTCACAGGCAGGGTCACCGCAGAGACTGTCCGGTCATTCCTTGACTTCCTAGCACAGAGGATGTCTGAAGGGGCCAGGAAGAGCATTGTCATCGCCCGTGATGAAGTCGCTGAGAGGGGGCTCGTTGCTGTCAAGTACCTTGGCGCCAAGTCCATGGCCATCTTCACCATCTCCCTGGCATTGTGCATGCACATTTTGATGGGAACAAGATTCCTATTGCCAGCCTAGCTACCTGGCTGGTTGGGAGCTGGAATTCCATCACAGGTGATTGACTACTACTTGTCCTGATTGTAGGTGCAGAGTAAATTATGTAGATTGCAAATTGATCCTATAATACTAGTTGTCTTTCTTTCTTGTGTGTTGGTGAAAAGTATGAAAAATTAAGCTAGAAACCGGTGGGATTTGTAGTTGGTTTTGTTTGTTTGGTTGAAGGAAGTATATATGCATCTGAATTCTGAAACGACACTGGCCAATTTGGCAATAGGATTTCGAGGTTAGAGACCTCTGTTGTTGCGTCCTAATAGTTGTCACTAGCTTGCTATTGCTGGTTGTTTTTGTTGTTATAAGCTGTTGATCAATGTAAAATAACCAGGCAGAGCAGCAGGAGCTGGAATCTTGACTGCTTGCTCTTGAAACTATCTCTTTTGTACACTTTTTCAGTTGTAAGAAAGGGGAAATGAAGTGAATAAAAAAGTGAGGTTGATTTTGCACATGTCCCTCTGTCTTATTTTCCTTTTCTTAAAAAAATAATTGAGCTTAACTAAATGATGAATCAATGCAGCCATCCGTAGATAGGATCTTATACTTTGCTGCTGACCTTTGGTTTCGATTAGCACTTATCATTTTGAAGTGGTGTCACTGAGTTTATATCTACCTTTCATTTTCAATTTGTAAAGCCGCAGAAAACATTTGCTTGTCTTAGACATACTATTCAAGTATTTTTCATACCAGTTAGTAGTATACCATCTGCTATGCTTTCTGTCAAGTAGCAGGTCTGCAAATCAGCTGAATTGATTTGGAGTATGTCCTTGATTTGCCATATTTGCCCCTCTTATCCATGGCACGGAGGGAATTTGCACAACTCAGCTCAGGCCCTGTTTGGTTTCTACATGTGCTTCTAAAATTCCTGACACATCGAATGTTTAGACACATGCGTAGAGTATTAAATAAAGACTAATTACGAAACTAATTACACAACTTGTGACTAATTTGCGAGACGAATCTTTTAAGCCTAATTAGTCCATGATTTGACAACGTAGTGCTACAGTAAACATGTGCTAATGACAGATTAATTAGGCTTAAAAAATCGTCTCGCAAATTAGCCTCCATCTATGTAATTGGTTTTGTAATTAATCTATATTTAATGCTCTTTATTAATATCTAAACATTCGATGTGACATGAATTTTAGGAGCGACTAAAGAACCAAACACCCCCTCAATGCATGTGGCACCCCCCAATGAACCACATTTAATTCTTTACCTAAGTGAGATCTACTGGCATTTAATTGGGTGTTTCAGTAAGATGAAACAACTGTGCAGGATTGGCTTCCCTGTATATTATCAGACTAGCGCCTTCTCTCTAGTTTAGCAGCATGTGCCATCCTAATTCCAGAGATGTTTGAAGACTAGAGGTTAGTTTGCTTGGTTACTACAGTACTTGGATAAAGTTGATACCAAGAGTGAATGTTCTGGGGCCTATGGTCAACCTGGGTTGGGTAAGGGGTGGTACCAGGAATGGTCCTGACCTGGTGTTGTTGTGGCCTCTAACTGAGTGCATAACAGATTGATCATGGAAACATTCAAATGCATGCATATTTCGATGGGAATGATGTTCCTATTGCTGAATGAGCTAATAGCTTGGTGGGAGCAGAAATTCCATTTCTAGGTTATCTATTACTACTTCTCATGATTATGGCTGGCTGTGGCTGCAGAGCAAACTATGTAGATTGCAAATTGATCTTGTATACTGCTAACCGTCCTTTAGTTTCTCATCTTAGTGAAAAGTATGAAAGCGCAATGTAGTAAAGGTAGAAACTTATTGGATTATGGTTGGTTATTAGCGATAGTCGGTTTGGTTGATGGAGGCACACATGTATGCAGCAGCGAGATGTCTAGATCACAATGGTCAATTTGGCAGTTTGTCTGATTATGGTCTGTATGGAGACCTGTATTGTTGCTTCCTAGTAGTTGTGATTATATTCTTGTAGTAGGTTGTTTATGCTGTCTGTCAAATGTAACAAAAAATGCCATCCAGAACAGTAGGAGCAGAAAACGTGTCTGCTTATCCTTGCCGTTCTCTCTGATATGATTTGTAATAGAGAAAATGAAGTACATAGATGGATGCATGCCTTTGCTCGCTCGCGCGCGGACCGCCGCCGCTCGCCCAATCGCGTAGCTCGCCAAGGCCACGCGCGGGCCGCCCCGTCTCGCGTAGGTTGCACGCGAGGAAGATGCAGGTCGAGCCGGTTTCTTCGTTTTTTTTACGGATGGGTTGAACCCGCATGCACAAAATATTCCCCTTCTGGATGAATCTACGAGCCATTTGGTTCTACCATTGTATCATTGCTAACACAAACGTAAATGAATTAAAGCTACGGATATTACCTGTGGAAGATACAATTGAACTAATTTCATTTATATCTGTGTTACTGTTCAACCAACCAAACAACACGTTAACTCACTGGTCGACCTATTTCAACCCACTCTGACCCCAAACTGAACACATGCGTCAGATATGTTTTACTAGGGAGACTAGGGAGAGACGCGCGCTTCGCTGCTCCCGCCCAGTGGATGGCCGATATATTGCAAAGTTTTTGTAGACGGATTGAGTGAAGTCGGTGCGCTATATCGTGTCGAGACTGGACCAGAGTACCAGACTGTATACTGTCGGCCAGGCCAGGCGGCACGCGTGACAGGAGGGAGTGGGTGGCGCGGGAAGGGGCGCGCGACAGCAGCGAGGTGGAGTGGGTGCGCGGCATCCAGGACGGACGCCCACGTCCTATCATCATCGAAACAAAAATCTGTAGGTATTATCTAATGAATATGTGAGTGATACCTGAACCAACTTCAGCTTCTTGGTGATGACACCATGCTTAGGGCTCATTCGTCTCGGACAGTATGACGCCAGGATTCATTCTGGCTGATAGAATCTTATACAAATATAAACTAACGATCTGGCCGGAACTGTTCCTGGAGGTCAATCCCAACGAAGCGAACGGGACCTTAATAAGAACATGTCCATGATAGACAGGGTGGTGAGCGTATGCGCGATGTGGCTGCAACTGCAGGCGTGGAGTCAGGGCTGTTGCGGAGTCATGTCGTCGCTGGGAAGGTCCTGCCTGCCTATCCCCCCGGCCAGCCGCTGTGTGTCGTGCGGCGAGGACGGGACAAGGGAGGCGGCGGCAGCGGCGGCGCAGACATGAGCCCGCGTTGGGGCACACATGACGACTCCTTTCATTGATCACGCGTGTACAGTCAGCGTAGAGACTACTGGGCGTTTTGGTTTGCTTGCTAGATTTCCTTGCCTGTCTTTGCCCAGCAAGGCTAGCCTATGTGAGCCTCCCAAGCTAGTAAGGGAAAATCTTGCTTGCACGGGAAGTGAGACAAGCAAGCAAAGGAACCAAACGTCCTAGCTATTCCATTTTCTTGCTTGGTACGTAGTTTTTTAGATAATTATTGTTAAGTGCAGTAAAAGTTAAAATGGGTTGTATTTAAGTTTGTTGTATGCCCACAAAAAGTTCTAAACCGTCTTTGAAGAATGTTTTCATTTATGTAATCTTTTTTATGGAAAAAACCATTTTTCGTGAATCAGAATCTAGGATATCAGTCTAAAGATCTCATGAGGTGATTCTAATTCATCATTTGAAACGTTTTTTAAGAGAATGTTGATCCAAAAACTTTCTACAAGAATATGGATTACTAACAAACGCACCCTAAATCTAGAATTATAGATTATCATAGGTCCTCAAAGAAAGTCATAGAACTCGATACGTAACTATAGCAATACATGAATAGTATTAAAGTTATAATATATTTACACCTAAATTGTATGACTTACAAGACCGGAGAAAACCTATAAACAAATTTCATGGATGACGTTAATTTTTCTGTACGCAGTTGGCACACATTGTCCTCCAGTAACATGTATTGGCTCAGGCGCTTTATTTCTCAACGCCAGCTGGTCGACGAAGGTGATATGGAGAGATTATGTTGGCAGTTAGGGCGTTCCCATCGGGGATCAAATAGCTAACCTAGCTGATATTCTATTGGTCAGAACAGATGCAGAGCAGCGCGCTAGCGAGTGCATTCTCGCTAGTCTCGCATGTTCTCCAACAAATTCTATCTCATGGCATGCAAAGCGCTGCACTCTCTCACCTTATTTTTTATTGTCTTTGAGGCTCAAATCGCTGGCGATTTCTTCAGCGCCGTTGAGGACGCCCTTAGCGTCTCCGCCAACTAATAAAGACATCATGCCACTTAGATTTTTTTTGATCAAGATGCCACTTAGCTTTTTGATTCTACATATATTATAGTCGAAACCCCACTTGTACTATATTTTATGTCGGGTTCAGATGTTTTGAGAGCGTGGATGGCATTGTTGCCTTGGGTACTTAATTAATTGGCCGCTTTGTTGCTTTCTTTTTTATTTGAACGACTTCGCTTTGTTGCTTTCTGTAATGTAAAAACAGGGTCAAAGGTCTTGGGTCTAGAACAATGCTCACGTCCTCTACTACGTACATATCATGACAATGTATATTCTCTTGTTTTTGGCATTGCACACGTGCAGCTACTTAATCATGGGCCCCGATGGGTCGGTGCTGTCTCGCCCGCGTTGTATGGCTGACTGACAAATGACGGGCGCTGCAGCCTCCGCCTGAACCGGACGCACGTGCGGATCCCAAATTACTGGCCTCACAGCAGCTCACGTGATAGATAAATGGATGCTGTTTTTTCTCAAAAAAAAGAAGATAAATGGATGCTGTCAGTGTCAGCTACTATTACCAGGACGAGTCAGCTCGGTCGCCTGCATACGTAGACAAGTCAGAGATTATTCTTAATTTTGTCCATGGAAATTCAAGGGAGAAAAAGAAAGAGAGAGAATCACTATTGTACAGTAATTCTCCAAATGGAAAGGTAGGTAGCTGTCTCTGTCTGGCTCACCCACGGAGTCCGTACGTCATCTCATGTCCATTCCTCCGTCACGACTGCCTGGAACGGCCCCACACCCG